CACCTGACTTGTTTACTACCTCTTGGATTTTTTTAAAGACAGGAATATTATTTTTTTTATGAAACAATCTTTCTTAATCCAAGACTTTAAACTTTTCATAACTACCACCTCTTCAATCTTATGACTCTGACCTAAAGATTTTTAAATGTTTTCTTGTGTGTGTGTGTGTGTGTGTTTCAAAAGGGGACATAAGTTTAGGTTTCTCAGACTCTTTGTTTGTTTGGTCTTTCATATCAATGACTCTGAGCAAAACCAGAGTCATTGAAAAGTATATCCTTTAACCAACATCTCCCCAGTTTCCTCCCATCCTGTTCCTGGTAACCAACCCTTCTACTTTCCGTTTCTGTGAGTTCAGCTTATTTAGATTCCACATATAAGGGATATCATACACTATTTTTCTTTCTCTGACTTACCTCACTTGGCATTATGCTCTCAAGATCCATTCATGTAATTCAATGGCAGGATTTCTTTCTTACGACCAGATAATATTTTATTGTCTAACATATACACACATCTTTATCCCTTTGACTATTGATGAGCCTTTAGATTATTTTCGGCCTTTATATTACAAAGTTTAAATCATATCATTGTTTACATAAAATCAAACAGTGTAAAAAATAATCAAAAGCTGTTAAGTATTGATGCTTAAATATAGACTATAGCTAATTTTCACAGATAATACATAAAACTAAACTCTTAGAATATGTACTTTAACCAAGATTATATTCTATTTTCATCTGATTTTCTTTCCCATTACACAGGAAGCTCTATGAAAACAGGGATGAGTTTTTAGTTTTATCCCTAACCTTTAGCACTGGCTGTGTAAGTTCTTTTCATAATTACTATGCTTATTAAAATTGGTTGGTGAAGGGGGAGGGGGCAAAAAAATCTTACTCTTTTTATGTTCAAAGCACATAAAATATGCCTATAGTACACAGACAAATACATTACTTCTGTAGTATTAAATTTTCATGGGAATGATTAGGAAAAATTATTTAAGAAGTCTTGTTAGTGGGGCAATAATGAAAAAACGGTTGGCTTACCAATATACAAACTTTGATATTAAAATCTGACAAATATAATACAAAAAAGAAAAATCACAGGGCAGTCTCACTCAAACACATATGTAAAAACCTTAAATAAAAATTTTATCAAACCTAACCTAGTAATATTTAGAAAGGATAACCATGAACAAGTTGCATTTATCATAGACTGCAAGAGATTTAACAAAAATGAATCAATGAAATTCTCACCGTAACAAATTAAAGTTATAAATTATTTCACCTCAATGACTATAGAAAAAACATTTTATAAAACTCAACATTGATTCCTAATAAAAACTTTTAGCAAAGTAGGAATAAAAGAGAACTTTCTCAATCCAGTGAAGGGTGTCATTAAAAAAAAACAAACCTTAAGCAAAGTAGCATATGCTTAGTAGTGAATCTCTGAATACTTTCTCTTTGATATTAATAATAAGACAAGTATGTCTACAATTCAAGATAATACTACAGATTCTAACCAGTATAGTAAGGCAAGAAAAAGAAGTAAAAGAAACAGACTGGAAAAAAAAACAACTTATTAATCTCAGATAATGATTGTGCAAGTTGAAAAAAATTTTAAATCTTCAAATAAATTAGTAAAAAGAAATTTTAGCAAGATTGCTAGGCATAAGGTTCAATATATAAAAATAATTATACTTTTATTATTTATTTATTTGTTTATTTATTAATCCTCAGCCAAGGATATTTTTCCATTGATTTTTAGAGAGAGTGGAAGGGAGAGAGGGATGGTGGGGAGAGAGGCAGAGAGAAACATCAATGTGAAACAGACATGTTGATTGGTTGCCTCCTGCAGGAGCCCTGAGTGCCCTGATTGGGGCTAGGGATCAAACTTGCAACCCAGGTACATGCCCTTGACCAGGAACCAAACCCGCAACCCTTCAGTGCCCTGGCTGACACTCTAACCACTGAAAAACACTGGCCAGGGCAAATATAATTATACTTTTAAATACCAGCTTCTGATAATTAGAAAATTAAATGCTTTTTTTAAAAAGATAGCCTTTATTATTAATAGCATCCAAAAATATGAAGTACCTAGAAATAAATAACAAAAATATGCAAGATTTTGTCAGGAAAATATAAAACTTATATACACTAAAAAATGAATAAAGAGATAGTCCATGGTCACAGATTACATCAATATTTCAAGGTAAATCAATTTAAGAGGAATTATCTATTTAAAAATTCAGTGCCACCAACAATCAAAGTCCGAGAAGGCAAGGATTCCTTAAACAGGAAAGAAAAACACTAACCATAAAAGAAACTTATCGATGAATTCCACTACATTAAATTTAAGAACATCCATAAACACACTATTAAGAATGTTAAAAAGGCTAGACACAGAGTGGGAAAAAGTATATGCAACACAACCAACATAAGATTCAAAATCAGAATATATAGAGAATTTTTTTAAAAGTACAAGCAACACAACCAACAATAGAATTGAAACCAGAATATACAGAGAATTCCTAAAAGTCAGTAAGAAAAAGACAACTAAATTATAAATTGGACAAAAACCTTGAACAAGCACGAACAAAATGGGAAATCCAAACAACCAATAACCATTCTAGCTTCATTAGTAAGCAGGGAAATGCTAATTAAAATCAACATGAGAAACCTAACAATTTAAAAAAACTTTAGAAGTCTAACAATATCAAGTACTGATGTGTGGAACAAAGACACTCTCATACACTACATAAGACAGTTTGACATTATCTGGTAAAGTTGAAGATCTACATACTATACAATCCCCTAAATATACTCCTGTGCATATATCCTATACAAATGCATGTGCCAGGATACATATACAAGATTATATTCATAGCAGTATAATATGATAGATTATACATTCATAATAGATATAAATTGAAAATAATCCAAATGAACAAATGCAGCCTGATGGATAGTACTGTGCCATATAATCACACAAAGGAGACAGCAATGAAAAGGTGTAATGAGTGAATGGAGTCAAAAGGTACCAACTTCCAGGTATAAGTAAGTTCTAAGGATGTAATGTACAGCATGGCGCCTATCTATGTATCTATATATATAGAACCCTAATATGCAAATAGACTGAACGGCAGAACAACCAAAAAACCGGTCGCTATGACATACGCTGACCACCAGGGGTGCACGCAGAACATGGCAGGCGGCAGCGGCAGCAGGATGGTGGAGCAGATGAGCGGGGACGCCAGACCAAGGCAAGGCACCGCCAGTCGCTGTAATTGGGGCAAGCCTCTGGTGGTTACTGAAAATTCTTTGCTCCCGCACACCGCGGTCGCACCCAGTGCTCACACCTGCTGCCGGTGCCAGCTCCGCCCTCACCCACTGCTGGTGCCCATCACCAGCCCCAATCGCTCGGCACCATCAGCTGGCCCCAATTGTCCCTGTGGGCTTCTCCACTTCTCTGCTCCTGAGGAGCCATTGGGGTGGCAGCCGCCACTTGCACCTGATGGCTCAGTGCCAGCCCGTCACTCCATGCCATCAGCGGTGTGAGCGCAGAGGCAGGACCAGGGGCTGCAGCGGGAGGGGCCAGGCGGGGGTGCGAAGGATGGGCCGAGATGCACCCCTGTGCCCACCGCAGCCTTGCGGCCCACAGTTCCTTTCCAGGTGTACAAATTCATGCACGGGCCCCTAGTATTTAATAATATTGTATTGCATATTTGAAAGTTCTAAGAATATTTTAAAAGTTCTCATCACAAGAAAAACAATTATATATCTATGTATGGTGACTGATATTTACTAGACTTATTCTGGTGATCATTTCTCAATATATACTAATATTAAATGTTGTACTTCTGACACTAATATAATGTTGTATGCCAATTACACCTTAAAATTTTACAAAAAAGCAATTCCCAAAGTTGATTCCTTGTATGTAATGACTAAAAATAGGCAAAACTAAACTACTGAATATATTATTTAGGGATGCATATCTTTGTGGGGAGGAAGAAGGTTGTGATAAGAAAGGTGTACGAATGAAGCTTCCAAGGAGTCAGCAATGTTGTATTTTTGACAGTACCATTGGTTACATGGGCATTTCTTAAACTGTACTATTCAAGTTTTAGCATTTTTTGCATACATGTTATATTCCACAAAATGTTTTGTTAACATCTTTTTTTAAATTACTATGCTTAATGATTTTAAAAATTGCTTAATTTTTAGAGGAGGAAGAGGCGGAGAAAAAGTGAATAGTGCCATACCACTTGAACCAAAGGATTTGTGCTTGTACCTGTTTCATACTTCTTATTCCCAGGCACTGTGACGAGATGGAAGTATAGGATGTGTCCTCCTCAGACACTGGGCCTGCCTCAGTCTAGGCCCTAGACCAGGGGTCCAGTTCACTGTCCCTCAGACCATTGGAGGGCCGGACTATAGTTTAAAAAAAAAAACTATGAACAAATTCCTATGCACACTGCACATATCTTATTTTGAAGTAAAAAAACAAAACGGGAACAAATACAATATTTGTATTTGCATGTGGCCCGCGGGCCGAGGTTTGAAGACCCCTGCCCTAGACTGTACTCCTGCTTCTTTTCTGTTGCCACCACGCTTGATTCCATGCTAGCTGAAGAAATGTATCCCAAGCCTATTCTATATCCCTAAGGACTAAGCTTTATCTGAGAAGGTTTACTGGTTTCATGAAGTAGACCTTAAACACCAACTTTCCATCTCTTGGAAGGCAGCATGGTATTTGCAAAGATGATGAACTTGGAAAACCAACTGCCCTTTCACTGACTAGCTGAGCATGCAGGAAAGGTGTACCTTACCTTGCACTTTGGTCCACTCATTTATAAAGTATCACAACCCTTCACAGAATTAAAATACCAATGACATAGAGCTGTTACTCACTGTATTCTTCCAATCTGAACCTAACTCTGTTTATTATTAAAAGTTTAATATCTTTAAGATGCCTACCTCATTTTTCTTATTCCTTTTTAGGCAGTTTTATACAACGACAGATCTGTTCTGGAGAATCATCACGCTGCATCAGCTTGGAGCCTGTATCTTTCTAGTCCAGAATACAACTTCCTTCTTAATCTTGATCATGTGGAATTCAAGCGCTTTCGTTTTTTAGTCATTGAAGCAATCCTTGCCACAGACCTTAAGAAACATTTTGATTTCCTTGCTGAATTCAATGCCAAGGTTTGTTATGTAATTTATGCCTGGTATCAAAAATGGAAACCATTGTTGTCAGTGTTACTAAATGAAAGTATTATTTAATATTAAGTTAGAATTAATACTGTTCACAAAGTCATGATAAATATCTACTGTAAGATATTACATATTCCAGTATTTTAAAACAGTATTTTTATTATTATAACACATTCTAAAATACTATTGCTCGCTACATTTCCTCTCCAACACAGACTTGTAACCTTCACACGGTGACAAATCAATTATGTCCGAAGTTTTTAGGAGCAGATTTGAGGAAGTTGTGCACTGTGCCAAAGAAGGCCTTTTATGAAATTAAAGATGGACTTCACGGAAGCCAGTCATGTCTACTGCACCACACCTCTTACACCTTCTTTATATTAGTCTTTGGCTGGTGTAGGAGAGTACTCACCACTCTTCCACTTGAGAATATGCCCTCACTGTGCTAAAGAATAAGGAACGAAAAAAAATAAAAGAATAAGGAACGAAGAAGTAGGAGTCCCTGTCCTCATGGGATAGTGGTACTAATCAGCGTGTTCTATGCCCCAGACATTTGGGGTGAAAAAGTGTTAAAAACCACTGCTTTAGGTTCCTGAAGGATGCCCCTTCTTTTGCTGGCAGGAATCTATTATTTTCTTCTCATTTAAAAAAATCTTCACCTAAGAATATGCTTATTGATTTTAAAGAGGAAGAGGGGGGAAAGAGGGAGGGAAGGAGAGAGGGAGAGAGACAGATAGACATCATGGGTTGCCTCCTGTATACACCCACCTCCCCTGTTAACCTGGGATAGAACCCGAAACTCAGGTATGTGCCATAACTGGGGATTGAACCCACAACTTTACTGTGTAAGGCAGCGGCTCTCAACCTGTGGATCGAGACCCCTTTGGCGGTCGAACGACCCTTTCACAGGGGTCGCCTAAGACCATCCTGTATATCAGATATTTACATTACGATTCATAACAGTAGCACATTACAGTTATGAAGTAGCAAGGACAATAATTTTATGGTTGGGTCACAACATGAGGAACTGTATTTAAAGGGCCAGGAGGTGGAGAACCACTGGACTGTAAGGGATGATGATCCAACCAACTGTACCCTATAAAAGTTATTTTTTAACTTAGATGTTCTCCCATTACTGGCCTCACTTCTGTGCTATTTACTCTTCATTTCCTGCCATTGAACAGCACACATGCTTGTAAAGTAGGTTTATTATTCAGCATCTTCTTACACAAAGAATGCTTCCGAGGGTTGGAATTTCCTAAACTAACAATTTCCTTTAAAAAATAGCAACAAGGGAATCTGACATTGTTCGAACATGCCTCTGTGGTTTAGTAATACTTCCCAAGATTTATACCTGTCAAATGAAAATTACTTTCTCAGGGTCAGAAGTCTCATTACCTTGCAGTCTGTAGAACTATAAAACTATTGGCATATAATCAGACAAAGAGAAAACAAATAACAAAGAAAAAACCTTGTTTTAATGGGCTATTGGGAGCATTTTCTTTCTTGGAATTTAGTGTAAAGGTCGGTCAATGGCATTGATGCATTAAGTAGTTTTGGTTTAATATAAATAGTTCAACTTCAAGAAAAAAATTTGAAGACAGATTTCTCATTGAACAAAATATCAATAAATCTTATTATCAAGTGTGTTTTCCTAATTTGAAAGCTATGCTCCCTGTTTGACATTTTAGTTGCTCTCTGTTCCTGAAATAATTTATTTGTCTCTCACCATCTACTATTTTCAGCCCTACTGGTTATTTCTGTGCATAATGTCCAAAAAAATGTTTCTTCTGATAAATGGATCAAGATTTCCTTTTTACTCATTTCATGTCAAAGCTTTTCTGGGAAGTATTTGTTGATTTATCCAATTACCAAACAAATACTTACTTAGCACCAACAATGCTGCCAGCCCCGGGACATCTACACTAGGGGATGAGTCATTCTTGTCTTCCAAGGATTTAGGATCTAAATTTTGTCTTGGGAAGACATACAAATCTAAGTTACCTAGCAATAAATACCCCAACAAATATTTATTGAAAAGCCCACTATGTGCTGGGCACTGGGAACACAATAATAAATAAGTTGCCATAATACTTCCAGTTTAATGGGGAAACAGGTGTGAGCAGGCAGTTCTGCTGCAATGTGCTCAGACCTAGAATAGAGGGATGTGCAAACAGAATGTGGAGGAACCTAGGAGGGAGTGCCTCCTTCTGCCTGGAAGAGTCAGAAGTGTCCACCTGGAGTGTTCACCCTGGGCAAGACCTGAAATCTGATCAGGACTTTTGCCAGATGACAGGGACGTGAGCTGGTTACTGGGCAAAAGAAACAGCGAGGGAGGAATCATGGTCCACTCAGATGGCAAATGACTCCTCATGTCTGGAGCCTCAGTGCAATAGACAGGGGAGCAATGTGAGACCGGGCAGGGTGGCCAGGGACAGTTCTTGGAGGGCTGATTTTATCTTGTAGCTGAGGGGATGTGGAGCTATTGAAGACTTTAAGCAAAGGAGTAATATGACAAGACAATAAAAAGAGATGTGGCCAAGTAGCGTGTAAGAGGTGGTGCCAGAGCAGCACTGACAGCAGTTGCCTGTTAAGGTTCAAGTCGCAGCCCCACAGCTTACTAACTAGTAAGACCTAACCCAAGTCACCCAATCTTTTTATGCCTTGGTTTCTTCATTTGTGAAAATAAAGATGAATGTTATGGAGAGGACCAGCCAGTGTGGCTCAGTGGATTGAACAGCATCCCATGCACCAAGAGGTTTCCAGTTCCATTCCCGGTCAGGGCTCATGCCCAAGTTGCAGCTTGATCCCCAGTGAGGGGTGTGCACGAGACAGCTGATCAATGACTCTCTCTTATCAATGTTTCTATTTCTCTCTCTCCCTTTCTCTCTAAAAATAATAAAAAAATATTTTTAAAAAAAGGAAGTTATGGAGGGGATACACGAGTTATGCAAGTACTTAGAAAGGAGCCCAGAATAGTAAGTGTCATTAGGTTTTACTTATTGTATGTAGTAGCGTAATCATCATAATTTTAGTAATGATGTCACTTAGGTTTGGCATAAAGCAAGTGGGATTTGAGCTGGAGTTCCCACCAGGAAAGAAGGGCATGTTTTTCTACCTTGGTTTTTGATGCAATAGTCAAAGCCAGAGCAAAAGGGAAGTCTTGGCCTCTGACAGCATCTATTGGGTTCTTTGAACCCCTATTTCTCCCCATGTCACAGCAGCGAAACATGGTCCTTGAGCAGAGTTTCGGGGGGTGGGGAGGAGTTGGCACCTTTATTTTGCCTTTGCTGGGTCTTCACCGTGAAGTGTGGCTCCAGGAAGGACCCTATAGATTACTCACTCATTTTACAAGTAGGAAAAATGAGTCATAGTTCTCAAAAGCTTCTTCTGTGGTCACACCACCAGTTAATCTCAATACTGCAGGTGCCTCTCATCAGGGGTCCTGCTGCCCAGGTCAGTTTCCTTCATACCACTCCATGCCATCTGCACCACAGACACTTTCTAGTCTTGGTTAGAGTTTTTCTGTTTCCTTCTGGCACATCTCCAAACTGGCCTAGTGAATGAATATTTGTTTCATAACTCATAATTAGAAAAAGACTCTCTTAGGCCCAAGTCCCCCAAACACACTCCTCTCTCTCTCTCTCTTTAGAACCATTTTATTTATAGTGATGACATTCAATATTATATTAGTTTCAGGTGTGCAATACAGTGATTAGATATTTATATAACTTGTGAAGTGATCCCCCATAGTCTTGCACCTACCTGACACCATACATAGTTATGACAATATTATTGACTATATTCCCTATGCTGTACTTTACATCCCTGTGACTATTCTGTAACTACTAATTTGTACTTCTTAATCCCTTCACTTTTTACACCTAGCCCCTCTTTCTTCTGGCCACCCTCGGTTTGTTCTCTATATCTGTAAGTTTGTTTTTTTGATTTGTTCTTTTGTTTCTTAGATTCCACATATAATTTAAATCATATGGTATTTGTCTTTCTCTGTCTAACTTACTTCACTTAGCATAAAAGCCTTTAGGTTCATTCATATTGTGGCAGATGATAAGTTTTCATTCTTATGATGGCTGAGTAATATTCCATTGTATATCTGTACTACTTTTTTTTTATCCATTCACCTTTTGATTGGAGCATTTAATCCATCAGCATTTAAAGTAATTATTGATAGTTATTTAGTTATTGCCATTTTATTGTTTTCTGATTGTTTTCATGGTTCTCTGTTCCTTTCCTACTCTCTTGCATGCTGATAACTTTCTGTAGTATTGTGTTTGGATTCCTTTCCCTTTTTTTCTTGTATACCTCTTGTAGATTTTTGTTTTGTGGTTACCATGTGCTTCATATATACCAGGCTATGTTTATGGCAGTCTATTTTAAGCTGATCGTTACCTAAGTTCTAACGCATTCTAAAATCACTACCATTTTTACTCACCCCCTTCACATTTATGTTTGTCATTTTTTACTTCTTTAGTGTATGTGTTTGTGTGTATCCCTTACTTTATTGTTGTAATTACACATGATCATCCTACTTTTGCCTCTTAAAATTTGTATTAGCTTTAGTATTGGTTGATCCACTGCTCTGATTATGTGTTTGCAGTAAGATTTTTACAGGCGAAAGATTACCTAAGTACTTTGAAATCTGTGTTTCCCAGAGACTTCTATTCCAAAGTCTCTCAGAAAGGCACCACAAGAAACTGTAGGAGGTCCAGAGCTCCAATCAAGAGTTCTCCTTTACTAGTTGTTCTGTGGTGGTGGTCTGTGTAAATTTTCCTTTGACAAAAGGGTTTGGTGCCAAAAAACTACCATCACACTATTCAAAACTCACTGATCTGGCCCATTCACTTCATTTTTCACAAAAGGAAATTTGGGTTATTAAAAAAGGTATAGTAATTTGCCTTATAATGATAATTACTATTTATTTAAATAGCGATGTTAGCATTTACTATGAATCAGGGATTTTTCATTTGTTAATAATCTCCATGGCTATTCGGCTAGCTTGATATTGCTTTTTCTATCCTCTAGATCAGTGGTTCTCAACCTTCCTAATGCCGCGACCCTTTAATACAGTTCCTCATGTTGTGGTGACCCCCAACCATAAAATTATTTTCATGCTACTTCATAACTGTAATTTTGCTACTGTTATGAATCATAATGTAAATATCTGATATGCAGGATGTATTTTCATTACAATTAAACATAATTAAAGCAGAGTGATTAATCACAAAAACAATATGTAATTATATACTGGTCTTAGGTGACCTCTGTGAAAGGGTCGTTTGACCCCAAAAGGGGTCGCGACCCACAGGTTGAGAACCGCTGCTCTAGATGCAGAGGACTTCAGGAGATTCAACAATATTTTCAGTATCACACAATAAATTAGCAAGTCATTCTGAGTCAGGATTTTAAACCATAGATCTCAGCTTCTTTAAACCATATCACATTTGTCTTTCACAGCTAGAGCCAACTTCTCCTTAGATACTTAAATATTTTCTTTTTTTGAGGTACAAAGTTACAATTCTATATGATTTATTGATGTTTTGCATATATATACTTATATATTATATTACATATTAATGTATGTGTATACACACACACACACAAATTATAATCCTCTGTGGTAATCACAGACATGGAAACCCATGGTTATGTTTTTTTAGTCTCTGCTTCTATTGAAACAAAATTATAATAACATTTTAAATTCAAGGGAAACTTAACCATAGATGTCCATATTATGGCACAAATAGATTAAACGAAGCATTTACTGAAATTCCTGCCTGTCAGTTGGATAGGAAAATTTTAAGGTAATTTAGTAGAAACAACAAAACTCCTGTGCCCTCAGAACCTAAAATAATTCTGTTTTTCCAAAACAGGCCAATGATGTAAATAGTAATGGTATAGAGTGGAATAATGAAAATGACCGCCTCTTAGTATGCCAGGTGTGCATCAAACTGGCAGATATCAATGGCCCAGCAAAAGTTCGGAACTTGCATTTGAAATGGACAGAAGGCATTGTCAATGAATTTTATGAGCAGGTGAGTTGAAACATGAGATTGGTGGGATTTTGAATAGCTGCCATCTGAAGACACTAACTACCCTTTGGGATTTGGAAAGCTACATTCAGTGTTTGAAATCTGAATTGCTTTGCTTAAGGATGGTTAGAAATAGTTTCATTTGCTCTGGTCTTAGTATATTCTCTGCTCTTTTTGCCTTTGCTGCTGATATTAAAAAAAAAAAAGCTTATAGCCTATCTAAAGTGGGTTGAATGTACTTGAGTATAGAGGTAAGGACAGACTACATTATGATTCCAAGGTCCCTTTCAACCCTGAAAACCAATAGCCTATGATAATTTATTTCTAAATGAAGTTGTTTTTAACTGATTCAGGTTGTACTTAGATTATACAGTGGGGCCTTGACTTACAAGTGTCCCGACTAACGAGTTTTTCAAGATACGAGCCGTCTCTCTCGGCCGATTTTTTGCTTTGAGTTGTGAGCTAAAATTCGGATTACGAGCCAACTTCAGATACCCCACCGCTAGTTGGCGCAGCGAACGTCACAGTGAACGCCACAACATCAGCCCAGCATCACGTGTCTCACTCGTTCACTTTATGATTTGACATATGAGTAATATGAGTTACGAGCTCCGTCACGGAATGAATTAAACTCTTAAGTCAAGGGCCCACTGTATTTAAAGACTATCAACCATCTTCAGCTCTGCTATAAAAAGATTGCCTTAGAAACATCAACTGGGTAAAAGTCCTGGCAGAGGATAAGAAATTAGAGAGCTAGAAATGGGGACAAAGTAGAGCTTAATGGTTTTCAAGGATTCAAAGATGTAAACATGGTCTTTTCTCATGTGTTTTAAACTCTTGTCTTGAAAACTAATCCTACCACTTTGCAGAATCTTTACCATTTTTTGAGGTTCAGTTTTGAGGCTCTCTACAATGTAGGAGTATACCGATTTCCCCACAAGCCTAATATTTCATTATCTCCAAAACATCAAACACATCTTCTTGACTTTTGAATTACATTCCTTGGGAATCCTTAACTGACCCTAATAACCAGAAAAAAAATCAATATATCTACCATGTGAGGCCTCTGTGAGGCTTTCTTACCATGAGTTGAAACTCTAGCAGGAGTGATGAAGTGGAGTCTATAAAGCATGCACAGTTACCTGTTGCACCTGTCACACCCAGATTGTATCAAATGACCAATAAATGTGCAATGTCTTTCAGCCACCTTAGCTAAAGGTCCCAACACAATGTGTACTCTGCTGTTCATAGGTTAAAATATTCTACACTGTGTAATCACAGAATTACTATTTTACTATTCTGATATACTTGAACTAAATTATTTGTACTTTTGGGTAATATATGGTTATAAATATTTGCCTAATCTGTAGTAATCAGTTTGCATAGTCCCATATTCATTCTTAAAGATAACGGAAGCCTGTTTCAGGTTTTAATTTATGTTCACAAAATAATTTAATGCTAAGGAAAATGCCATCTGTACAGAGGTAATTATAAAGTATTAATATATGCCAGATTTAGAAAACGCACTGATTTCATTGAAAAAAAAACATTTGAAAAGTTCATTTCAACCCAGTTTACAATATAATTATTTTTAAAGTATATAGAATTAATTCTTATTGAACAAACTTAAAGCCATGACTGAGGTTGAATCCTGGTTCCTTTTCCTTACCAGCAGTGTGACCTTAACCTCTCTGCCTCGGTTTCCCCATTTATAAAACAGGAATGTTGATGGCACCTGCCACATAATTTATTTAATCCTCACAACAACCGTAATATTTAAAGTCTTAGAAAAGTCCCTGACACATAAGTGCTCCATAAATGTTAGCAATTATAATTCCTGATCTTTCACTAAAAATCACATATTTCAGGCAGTATCACTTAAATTTTCCAGGTTTCATTATTCATATGCCAAAGGAGAAAAAATAACATCCTACCATAGAATTGTTATGAAGGTTAATGTGCTAATCTATATGAAAGTTCTAGTTAACCCTCATCAAAACTATTACATTTCCTCTCATTCTAGCTATGCTACTAAACATCTTTGAGATATGGAGGCAAAATTCTAACCTTACCCATCTTTTTATCATTGTAATTATACTAGCTTTATATTCCTATATCTAAGTGCCATGGGCTTAGAAAAGCCACTTAATCAAACAAAAAAAAAGTATTAAACCTATGAAATTGTAGAATCCTGTGGGCAACCTCAACTGGTTTTAAAAAAAACACCATTAATAGTTTTCTTAGTCATAGAAGATTTAAATCACAGGACAGTTCATCACTGCGACAGTTTCATAAGGATCTATGACTCATCTTGCCTGCAGCATTTGTGCATTATGGAAAGTATTCATTCCCCATAGCAACCCTGTAAAATAGATTCTTAAAATTTTACACATGAATTGAACATAGAGCTTGCCCAACACCCTCTAGGTAATAGGTGGCAAAAGCAGGTTTTAAAACTAGGTGTCTGATCTTATACTGTGCTCTCCAGAACCCTAGAGGCCACAGTGAGAGGGTATCTCAGGGCAAGAAATTGGGGCTCTGAGCCCAGGATCCTCACCTCAACCACAGTAGCTCTACTTCTTTCTGTTTTACATATTAGGCTTTTTTATTTACATTCATGGAAGGGTTCTGCTATTACAAAAGGGGAGGAGTGTTGAAAAGCATTTGCAAAACTCTGTACGTTTGCAGAACCGCTACAACAAGTGTTTCCATTTACAGTCTCCACCTAGGACAAAGAAAATCTGTATTTGACACTAAGGAATTTTGCAGGTTGTTAGTAAATTTGCTAATACTTTAAAAAGACGTGTTTTTTTCTTGTTAACTGGGTATCAATTAACTGAGTGTGAGAATAAAGTTTTTTTCGTTTGTGTGGTTTTTTTACTTGTTATTTTACTTTATTTTTTTTAGTCAGAAGATTAAGTAAAAAGTAAGAGACTGTAAGATTGGATGAGTAAGTGAGAATAAAGTTTTGTTTAGGATTTCTCAAATATTAGAGAAATACTTACAGTTGAAATGATAGAGAAATAATTAGATTCATTGGGACTTTTTGTAAAAATTATTTTTATGTAGACTATGCTTATTTAAAAAAAACACCCTCAAGATAATTTAACAGCAAAGCTTAGTAATTGTTCTCTTAACAGTTAAAAATGTACTTTTCTCTTTAAAATGATCAGGGAGATGAAGAAGCAAATCTTGGTTTGCCCATCAGTCCCTTCATGGATCGTTCTTCTCCTCAACTAGCCAAGCTTCAAGAGTCCTTCATCACCCACATTGTGGGTCCCCTGTGTAACTCGTACGATGCTGCTGGTTTGCTCCCGGGCCAGTGGATAGAAGAGGAAGAGGATGATGACACTGAAAGTTGTTCTGATGAGGATGGTGAAGAATTAGATACAGATGATGAAGAAATAGAAGGCAATCTAAATCCTAGTAAGAACCTAGCAATACTATTTACTCAATGTTCTTAACTGAAATATCCATTTAATTTGGATTTGGATCCTTGTTTTAAAGATTCAGTAGTCTTATCCTGAATAACTACGATGTAAGTGTTCAGGTTATGAGTTCCTACTGTGGGCTGGGTACCCATTGCTAATGCTGTCACATGACAAGCTCTCGTAGTTAAAGTAGCATCTCTTGAGGTGTTGTCCTCCAATCAGTGCTCCTCAGCAGGCTGTACCTGTGCATGCATGACAGGACTGTCACCACACCTGGACAGAAGGGAGGAGGTGGGTGGGTCCTACTGGCTAGTCCTCCTTTACCACACCCCACCCTTCCTGGCCTGTTACTCTGCCCTTCATATAGACTTTAGAAATGGATCAAAACAGTTGGGAAAACTGCCCTGGCCAGTTTGGCTCAGTGGATAGATCATCAAACTGAAGGGTCCTGGGTTCGATTCTAGTCAAGGGTACATGCCCAGATTGTGGGCTCGATCCCTGGTGGGGGGTGTGCAGGGGGAAGCCGATCGATGATTCTCTCTCGTCATTGACATTTCTCTCTCTCCTCCCTTCCTCTCTGAAACCAATCAATATATATTAAAAAGCAGTTGGTCCTCTACCTTCCTCTCTGAAATCAATAAAAATATAGATTTTTTAAAAAGCAGTTGGGAAAACTGACTTAAGAGGAGAACCAAGGTTTGTGGCATTACAGATTTTAATTATAAAATTGTAGGGGCACCATTTTCTATATAAAGCAAAGAGTATAGATAGAAAATGAAAAACATTTGTTACCTTTGTATCTGTAAATGAAGTCAGTTATTTGCTCTTTAAAGTAGAATTTAAATATCTAATTACTTTGTTTTCCAAGCATGCTGTATACAGAACAGATAACTACAAAGAACCCCATCCACCATCACCCCAAAGTTGTCTTAATATTAGAATAGTGAAAAGTAATCTTTTCATTACCATCTGAGTATCATCTTGGGAAGTTGGCTGGCTTCTGAAAGTCTATACTCACCCAAATTTTTTAAATCCTCACCTTAGGATATGTTTTCATTCACTTTTAGAGAAAGACAGGAAGAGAGAGAGAGAGAGAGAGAGAGAGACAGACAGACATCGATTGGTTGCCTCCCGTACACATCCCTACTGGGGATCAAACCCACAACCTAAGTATGTCCTAAGTATGTGTCCCCTGACCAGGAATCGAACTTGCAACCTTTTTTTTTGACAATGCCCAACCAACTGAGCCACCTGGCCAGGGCTACTCAACAAAATTTTGATGTTTAATATATTAAAAAATCCTAAAACGGTTGGTTTTATCATTTGATATTTCAGTGCCATCTCCCCCCTACACACACACACTTCCATAATCTCATTTTCTGCTTTACTTTTAACAGTATTTGTTACATTTTTAAAATTGATTTTTAGAGAGAGAGGAAGGGAGAGGAGGGTAGAGAGATAGAAACATCGATGGGAGAGAAAACACGGATCAACAGCTTCCTGCACGCCCATATGGGGATCAAGCCATAACCGGGGCATGTGCCCTGACTGGGAATCAAACCAGTGACCTCTTGGTTCAATCTTATTGTTTATTACTATAACGCCAGTGCTTAGATAGCACCTAGAATATGATAGGCACTCAGGTATTTATTGAAAGAATGGCTGAATCATATTGCTATGGCTAAAATATCTATACTTTTTAATTTCACAGAACCAGAGAGAAGAAAAGGCAGACAGCGAATATTTTGTCAGCTAATGCATCACCTCACTGAAAACCACAAGATATGGAAGGAGATGATAGAGGAAGAAGAGAAATGTAAAACTGATGGGAATAAACTGCAGGTGGAGAATTCTTCCTTACCTCAAACAGATGAGATTCAGGTGATCGAAGAAGCTGATGAAGAGGGAGAGACCGTTTGAGTGAAACAAAGACATAATGAAGAATCCCGAGGGCTGTGCCTGAGGGTTGGGAATTCACTGTGCTGACTCTGAACTGACCATTCCCACGTGGACAGGCCGTCTTACTGTGAGGGGATCCCTGCGGTGCCTGCGGTTTCCCACTCTTTGCACTTTCACCACAAACTAGGAAACTATTCCTAGAGCTTGGCTTCACCTGACTCATGTCGCAAGCCCTTACTTAATGCCTCACTGGTATAGGAATACTTTGTCACCATACTGCTCTGTGGGTGGAAAGCACTAACTTTTCAGGAGGGAGATCTAGAACTAAAAGTTCAAGTAACTTTTACTGTAGTTTCCAAAGTGGCCAGAACTTCTTGCTTTCATGAAAACTGGATTCATATTGTATTTCCAAATGTGTCCTTTATGTATTTGAATGTTTTGGGGGAGAAAGTCTGTGCCTATTTAAAAAGGAATCCAGTGTCTCCTTTCCAAGGGATCTGTTCAGTGCCATACACTGTTGAGTGCTGTTCACCCAGCTAGACTTACCCACGAAGGACTGAGCTTTGTTATATTTAACAAAATCCACACGCATCAATTTCTGATGCTTTTACCTGTTGTGTATTATTTACTGTGTGTGTTTTATTTCTGTTCTTAGTATTCAGCTTTGGCGTAGAAATCAGAAGTCTGAATTCTAGCCTTTTTGACTTTATATTCCATGGTCGAATTTTAAAGCTGTTTAGGTTTAACAATGAAGGAATTTTATTCTTTAGTCAAAACTGTTCTCATTTTTACTCTTGCTCAGGATTAGTATTTTTAAACATTCAATTAATATAATCCCAACACATATTTTCAAAAGAAAAAAAACCTTTTCCTAGTATTGATATTAACCTTTTATGAAAGCATTATTTTATCTTTTCTTAGAAAAATGAGACTAATTAGAACCACGGAAAAGATGTGTCTTTTGCCTTAATGTAAAAAAAATCAAATGAGACTATCCTGTCAAAGGTAAAGAACAAAAGAAATAGTGTGAGTTCTGGAAGACACATTCATTGCATAAGTAATTGGAATATGTACTTATTTTTATATCTTAGGTGCCACATGTTTAGTTACTGTAAAACTAATGTTTATCTTTCTATTAATTTCCTTTTGCCTCAAGATTACATGAGAGAAATTACCTATGACTACTCAAAACTTCTAGAGCCCAATGCAAGTCGAATTTCTGAGATGTGAAGTAAATGGTGGGAATACTAATATAATTTTTATATAACAAATCTAAATATTTTAGTAAATCGTTTCATGCAAAAGCACACTGCACATTAATATAACTGCAAAGAAAATGGAACATATTTACAATGTTTATAAGCTTGTTAGTTTCTGTTAGGGTCCAGACTTGTACCCTAGCTGTGATAAAATTTGAAGATATAAAGAGCAGAATAAGATGGTAGACTAATATTTCTTATTATTCATGGAGACCGTATTTTATTTTGGATCCATTCAGCTTTTGTAGGCATTAAAATTATTAATTTTCCAAGGTAATTCCTTTTAAGAAATGATGTCAGCAGGGAATTTCTTGCCTACCTAGAATTGTTGGCTTACCTGAAAGATGTCAATGTAAAATCTACGGAACTGTTGGATGTTTTGATCCTGTAGAGTATCCTAATTTTTAATGAATCACTAAGCTTTATTTATTAGACATGGTGAGTGCTGAGTGCCTTCTGCCACTTTTGCTACCATCGCCACATCATCTGTAAACTGGTCCTACATCCCTAATAAAATTGTAACTAATTTATTGAGTTTGCACTTGTAATATATATATATCTTGTGCTTCTCTTTCTCCAGGGTGCATTTTGCATCTGCATATCCCTGCTATTGCAAAGTACATATATTTGTGTAAATTCACATGTAGCATGTATGCATAATGAAACAATAAAATTTCCTTACTTTCTATTTTATTAAAATTTTGTATTGGGTCTAGTGTATATTTGTGTTTTCTTAAAAGAAGCATGTTTTTCTATTAAAATACTATGAATTTGATATTATTTTAACTGCTTGTAGAAATAATCTTGCAGTGCTTACTAACACATTTTTCTCCATAAAAAAACCTACCTTTTTAAGTTATTTCATGATTTCCTGCTAGTCTCACTGATTTTGCTGGTGCTATTCTCTTTTTCTACTTATTTTTACAAGAATCCTGGAAATTCTGGCTATTGCTTAAATAGTCAGAAATTTCCTCTTTCTAGATTGCATCATCTCATGGAAGCAAACTTTACAGAAGAGATGAATGTCTTTATTACAGTTGCCAGGCTAATGTGAGCACGTCTAGAGGATGTATGGGAATGGCATGTGGACGACAATGAACAGTTTCCCAGAGGCAAGTGGCTTTTATGCTGAGAACTGAAGAGTTATGAGTTAGCGTGGCACTGATAGCTGTGGAGAGAAAGAATAACAGCATGTGTAGAAGCCGAAAGAGAAAGCATCTCCACATTGGAGCCAAGAGAGATTTACTTAGGGTGGCCAAAACATAGAATGCAAGAGAGGGAGTGGTAGAGAGAGGGTGGTGAATAAAGGGCCTTATAAGCATGGCATGTCATTAACCTATGCGAAATGGGGAACAATTGAGTTTTAATTGGGAAGAGTCACACATTGGCTTTACATTTTATGAGGATCACTCAACATACTATGTTGAATGGAAGAGTAAGATTAGACATGGGGAGATCTCTGATCTAGACTCAGATAGACTATAGGACTACAGGTAAGTGTTGATGTTGCTAGTTTGTTAACCACATGTGGAGTAGCCAGTTTCTAAAACAAATACTTCAGGAAGAAGAAAAATGACCCCAGAGGGGAGATAGGAGATGCATGATGGAAAAGAAAAAGCAAAGAATAAACAACTTGCCGAACCGGTTTGGCTCAGTGGATAGAGCGTCTGCCTGCGGACTGAAGGGTCCCAGGTTCGATTCCGGTCAAGGGCATGTGCCTTGGTTGCGGGCACATCCCCACTGGGGAGCGTGCAGGAGGCAGCTGATCGATCTCTCTCATCGATGTTTCTAACTCTCTATTCCTCTCCCTTCTTCTCTGTAAAAAATCAATAAAATATGTTTAAAAAAAAAGAATAAACAACTTGTTTAGGTAAAGCTATAAACATTTATATGAACTAAAAATATTTTGTGGGATTTAGAGAAAATGAAAAACCACAAAAAAATCAAGAAAGAGTAAAGTTGCTTAAGGGTCTTGTATAGTTTAGGAAACTAAGATGTTAACTCATATTATGTATATACTAGTGACAGGTACAGGGATTCGTGCACATTGAAAGGAAATGAATTAGAATAAATATTTTAATATTGCTATTCGTCCTTTATAATAGAAGTGTCAGAGATTAACGAAAATTAGTAAAATATATATGAAAATGATATATAAATTGACTAATAAACAATAACATGATATAACAAAAACAAAGACATGATATAAAAAGAACAAAAACATCTCTCATTGCTATTTCTAACTCTATTCCTCTCCCTCTCTGTAAAAAATAAAATAAAATAAAATAAAATAAAATATATTTAAAAAAATTAAAACATGATATAAAAACAACATTGATAAAAACAATGATAAATTGGTGAGGCCAGTGTCAGACGGGGACAAATCAATTCTTGGAATCAGAACAACCTCTCCTCCGCAGATTCTGCTAGTACTTCAGCTTCGCTAGTACTTCAGCTTCGATTATATTAGGTCGCAATCTTTTGATAATATAGTACCATTACCCCATTTACTATTAAGATTTCTCAATAGCACTGCCGGCCCCTCGCCCACCCGCAAGGAGGCAGCAGGGTGAGCGTCGGCTGAAATGAACCGGGCTGCGGCGGGCCCAGGAGGCGACATACAACTGCTGGCAGAAGAAAGAAAAGACCGGGCCGCCAGTGGTTCTCTCGGCGAGTTGGTTCTCTCGTCGGGACACACGCGGGGTCCCACCACCAGAGGCCCCAGCCCAGGGATGGTCCGCGGATCCCAGGAAACGCCTTCTCTTCGTGAGGCCCGCCCCGCCGCCACCAGCCAAGAGCACCTGGTCTTTTCTCCCGGGTGCACGCGCCCCACTCTGCCTGGGGACGCCACCAGCCCACCCCAGAGGTGGGGGGCCGAGCGGCAACACCGGCGCGCAAAGGCCGGTTCTGGGTGGGACCGCGGCAAAAGGCCGCTTTTCGGGTGACCGGCGCGGTTGGATGCCGCCCTCGGGACCACGAAGGCGCGGGAGTTCCCAGGGACGTGGGGGCCGGGAAGGTCCCCCGGGACAGGGTCGGCACAGGGCCATCCGAGCGCTCGCAATAGCGCCGCCAGGAGGGAGCAGCACGAGAGAAAACACCGCATCGGCGAGGAAAGGAAAGGAAAGGAAAGGAAAGGCAGGAACTCACGGTCAGCCCCGCTGGCATCGCGGACTCGGTCCCATCACGACCGCTCACGGCCAGGCCCCCTCACGTGAGGGGGACGGGCGTGCCTCCCCTGTCCCGCCGGATTCCCGATTCCCCCGGGCTCCTCCGTGCACCGCCGCAGCGGCACCCCGGGAACGGAAACGACGCCATCCGCTCGGCCTCGGAACCTGAGGAAAGACCCGGAGCCTAGGAGCACCCCGAGGGCCAAGACGAAAACAGCGCGCACCCAAGGGGAGGCGTGCGATGCCGCGTGGAGGGCCGCCCACGAGACACGGCCGGGAGGCGAGCGGAGAGTGTCCGCTGCGTCCGAAGACCGTGGGCGTTGAGACCGAGGTCGGGCTGGGTTCCGCACCCCTTCCGTCCGCGCAGCGCCACCGGACAGGGGGGAGCGGAGAGGGGCCCCGGGCAGGGCGAGCAGAGCGGTCCATTCGCCAGGAATGTCCGCCCCTCGTCCCGAGAGCGTGACCGACGTCACATCGATCCGCAGCGGCGGGAACCACACCAGCGGCCGCCCAGAAGGGAGCGAGGCGAGGACAGCGGCACGGCCTGCGCTTCAGCCTCGCCAGGGAAACCCCTCCTCGGGCAGAGAAGCAGGGTTCGCCGGCCCAAGGCGCACACCAGCCGGCGCGCAGGCCCGAGGCGTGCGGCTTTGCTCGGGGCCGGGACAGGAAGTCAGGCTTCTGGTCGCGGCCGAAACGCCCCCGGGACCCCGGTCCTCCAATCACCCGAGGACAGCACGTCCACACTTATCTTCCAGGCAAAACACTGACGGTTCCCAGTGACGGGGCGTCTGTCTACAGATCACACCGGCCTCCTGGGAGCTGGTGACGGCCCCGGAGACCCCACAGGACTCCATCGCCACCAAAGAAAGGGGGGGGGGGGGGGGGACGACAAGGAAGGGACGGGGCTATCTGGTCGACCCCTAAAGCCTGTTAAGAGTGTGCCTTCCACCAAGGTCAGGGAGCCCCGCGCTGCGCCCCAGGGAATCTGCGTCCCAGGAGGACCCGGTGCTCCCGCCACACCTGTGTTCCCTGAGAGCCAGTGTTCCCCGCCGGCCCTGTGCTCCCGGCCGCCCCAGGTGTCTGCATCCCCCTTCCGCACAGCCCCTTCCGAGTCTTCCCAACAGCAGAGCCCAGCGCCCCCAGCTACAGCCAGGCCTGGTGGAACCCTGCGCAGGCCGCCCAGCGCAGGGTCCCCGCTGCTCCTGCTCCAGCTCCAGCTCCAGCCCCTACGCCTTCAGTTTCTCTCCCAACCCTGTTGTGACCCCTGGATTCACAGACCGGCTCTCACCCCAAGGCCCCTTGGAGAGGTCCTTTTCCTCCCGCACGCCGTGGGATGAGAGCGACGTGGTCCTCTACAAGTTACTGGATCCATAAGGGATTCTGTCCCCATCAAGTCCCGCAGTTGCCGCGGGACCAGAGGAGACCAGGGTGTGCGCCCATGCGGGTGCGAGAAGCGCTGATCAGTGTATCTTTGCCGTCAGCGCACCTCCAAGTATCCAATGTGGGGAGAAGGCATTGGCTCTGCTCACTGCGTGGCCAACGCAAATGCCTCGCGCGCAGCTCCGCGGTCCTGGCTGCCCGCATTGGGGCGCACGTGACCTCGCTGCGAGTTCTCACGGCTGCTCGCGGCATAGCTGCTCGCGGTGCAGGTTCCACTGGACCCAGCCCAGCTCCTCCTGGCGGCGCGCTCTGGGACCTGCAGGACTCGGGGAGCTTTTCGTGTTTGTACCTCTGCTGACTCGTGGCTTCGTGGTGCTTTTCCTATTTCATTCCCTGGCCACGGAGAATGTACCCCCTTCTCGCGGCATAATTGAACACTAGAAGACTCAACTCATAACGTGTCTATATTTTTACTCGTTTCTCTGAATGTATTTGAGTTTATTCTATTTCTTGGCAATGAACGTGTTACAAACCTTTCTCCTATTTGTATATTATATAAGTAAAATTTCTTGATTTTAATGTAGTCTGTTTCAGTATGACTCATTACCTGTTGTTATATGATTATGTGTTTGTCGTTTTCATCAAGTGGCAAACTGATGCTGCAAAATAATAAATGTATTAAAAATTTTTTTTTAAAAAAAGAGCATGTCTCAGACAGGCCGCAGCAAAAGGAGCGGCCGAGTCTGGTGTCCCGGGGGACCTTTACGGTCAGCCCAGCCAGCATTGCGGACCCGGAGCCTAGGAGCACGCCGGGGGCGCGGGTGTCAAGGCCCGAAGTCCCAGCCGCGGGCAGGACAGCCTATAGGCGAATCTCCGGCTACACCCCAGCGGTAACCCGTTCGGTCGTGCGGAGGGGCAACAGCGAGTGCTGGCCCACCCGCTCCCAGCCGCAGCCACGCCCTCAGTCCTGCAGGTCCCATCTCCGGAGGGAGAACGGGCCACGAACCTCCGAACCGGCACCGCCAGCACGATCCTGACAGCGCCGCCAACCTCTTGGAAGTCAGCCGCGAGCATCGCGGCCGCTTCCCCTCCCTGGACGCTCAGCGAGGACGGAACAATATAAAAGCGGCGGCCAGGTAGC